TATATATATATATATATATATATATAATTAAAACGGAACAGTAGAGAAAATCCGATCAGAATGACAAAATAAACAACTAAGTATCCACTGGAAGGAATCCCAATATCTGCAGACGGATCCGATTCGGCCTTCCAGGACTCATCAGTGCAGCTGGGGTATAGACCCAAAAGAAACGTTTGACCAGCTTAGGAAGGGCCCAAACCAGTCCCACTACCACTAATGATTACAGAGCCAAACCAAGGCAATATATGTTTTTATATATATATATATATATATATAAATATATATATAAATATAAATTGAGCTAACTCATTGTTTTTTTAAATTGAAAATAATTAGGTAATGTTTGAATCTGTTTCAGCTGGCTTATCAATTTATTTAAAGAGTCAATTGTTACCTACATGGACCGGGAATTTAAGGAAATGGTAGGATTATATATACATTATACAGTACTTTCAAGACCATCATTTAGTTTAAATAAAACATTTCATTCATATATATATATATATATATATAATATATATATATACATATAGCCTATATAGGCCTATATGTAGTGGCAGTTCGGCGCAGCGGATAAGGTTTGGGCTTTCAATCGTAAGGTCGGGGTTTCGAGTCTCTGCTGTACAGATTCACTTGTGTCCTTGGGCAAGGCACTTTAGCTACATTGCTTCAGTCCACCCAGCTGTATCAATGGGTACCAGCAAACTGCTGGGGACTAATCTGCGGCGGACTATTGTCCCGTCCAGGGGGAGTACAACTTTCATCCGCTTCACACTACAGAAACTGGGGATAAGCTCCAGCCCTATGAGCCCTGGTGGCTCGGAAAGGATTTAGTTTATATATATATATGTGTGTGTGTGTGTGTGTGTACTACAGTAAGTGATTGGCTTTCAATTAAAAACTAAAATTCCGTACATCTAATAGGCCCAACTCTTAATGATTAAGAAGTATAGGCAGCTAATAATAAGAAAATGTATTACATTTAAAACTTCATGGATTAAGTTTGAAGTTGGCGATATTTTCTTCGTCGTGAAACAATAAACCAACATGGCTACGTAGTCTCGTTCCTGGCGTCGATATGTTCTCAGTGGTTTAAGTAAGCAAAACTTAGCAAGGTAAAAGTACTTATGTAAGCGCAGAGCCAAGATTGGATTCCCCAGCAGAAACGGCCCAAAAAGCAAAAACACGTTTAGAAAAGCGTTCCAAAAAAGCTTCCTACTTAAGCTCCTCCCATCCAGCTCCCACCTAAAGTCTGTTTTCCACTAGGCGAATTTATTCGCGCGAAGCAAAGCGTCAGTTCGCTTCCTTAGCTCTGATTGGTTGCGCATTTTTTCGTTTCGCAAAATCTCCGATAGAAACGTGAACGCGCATGCGCATGAACCGACGCTTAAATCGCCTAGTGGAAAACCGGCTTAATAACAATGCTTGCGTTACCGTCTGTTTCAATTAGTTGCACTTTCACTAGAAACGAAGGAATTCAGAAGGAATTTAACCGTTTTTAATAACTAAGTGTTTTTTTTCAGAAACTTGCCATGAGACAGAATGCATGAGCAATTCCACATTTTGATAAGCCAACTTGTAGTTTTGAAGTGGTTGGCTGGTTTCCATATGTAATTACAGACTGTAGTGAAATTTTAAAGTGTGGATTTTTTTATTAAAAATTAAGAAATTTGTTAGTTTCATTTCACCTGAGACTCACAGATTATTGATGCCGATTCTTACATTGTCGGTTTTCTTTTTTACTTTCAAACATTTAGATGTGTGATAGAATCGATAATGAAGTCAACAGAAAACTTGCAGAAGTTGTTGCAGACATTAATCGTTACTTCCTTTATTTCATCATTTTCATCGTCATCCTTATAATTGCCGTCATAATAATGACTGCTGTAGTCAGCGCTAAATTAGCTGACCTTATTATTTTTATTAGCATTATTATTTGATATTATTATTTCATATATAGGCCCTATTACTATTTCTATTGCTGTATATTTTTATGAATGTATTTTTTTAAACTTTGTTGTAAAGGGTAAATATAGTTATCGACTGTATTCCAAGTTCAAAACGCATTATAATATACCATTGATATTAAGGGATAACGAATGAAGTTTGTAATTTGTTCCATCAACAAAACTAGATGCTAAAAAAATGTTAGGAATTAGGAATTTGATGTGAGAATATCTCCTCAGGCCATAAATGATAAGTTTACATAAGAAATACTACAGGCCTAGTCTATAACAATAATGAGTAAATGATAAATATATGAAATAATAATACTCTGTAATAATATTAATGAATAAAGATGATATGATGAGCAAATATGATTTAATATTTATATACAAAAAAAAATATTATTACATAGACAAATAACGTATTAACAATACTGATAATGTATTGCTTAAAAGTTTCCATGGCCAATAAATAATATATATGTTGAAGCTTGCGGTACACCACGTAAATAGTTTTGAAAAGAACTGTTTAGTTGAGAAAGTCTCGACGTTTCGATTGAGATGCTTCAATCGTCTTCAGGAGAATAATATTTGCAGACACTCCAAACAGGGTCATGGTGGTGAACTGACCAATGGGTGAAAGGCTAAAACACAAGCTGGATGGTGATTGGATGGATAAACTGGCCAGTGAGAAGACTGCTAGTGAGAGGCTAAAACAAAAGCCATTGTTCACGAAAACAAAACAAGGGTGGGAACGCCCAAACAAAGGCATGGTTCCAGGGCGGGAAAGTGAGTGGGAACGACCAAAAACAAAGGCATAGTTCCAGAAGGCGGGAAATGGTGGGGCTTCGCTAGGTCCGATTAAACATAGACAGCCAAATATCGCTAATGACAAATCCGATGTCTTGATGTAGAGTATTGTGTTTGTGACAGAACTGTAATTGCAATCAGATCATTTGAACTTAATTAAACTAAACTAAAACCAAATACCTGTATTACATTTGCATTTGTTTTTTGTTTTGTTTTCGTCTCTGTTGTTAAGCGCCTCGAGGTTGTGTCAACGTGAGGCGCTATATAAATCCAGAATTATTATTATTACCATCAATGGGAAGTACAATGAAACTTTCATTGTACTGTAGTCTCATATTCTATGAACAATAGTAGTTTTAACAGTACTACAAATTATTATGACAATGTGTAATTTATTTAACATTAACTGATGGAGTGGAGGCCTCACCTAAATTTATTATAGGCCTATATAAAATTATAGTCATCGTTACATATTAAAGACGTCGCTTGTGATAAAAATAAAGATTTTCTGTAAACTGTGGTACCTTAAGTTGATTGATGCCTCTATTATTATAAGTATAACCTGTCGTATATACAATATTATTGATGTTCCGTCAATGATAGATAATTGCCAGATTGCCGCAAGTTTGCTTTGGTTCTCGTTCGATTAAAGTTTTGTTGGGTTTTCCCTGCATTGACCTTCTACCCAGGTACCATTTGTCCATTAAGCAGACAGCTGTTATGTTGCGCTATGATCCAGGAACATGGCCGGCGGAACCGGGGGCCGGTACCCTCCTCTCCCCTCTCCCTTTTTGTCTATGCGGTTTTTTTGTATGATCGGAAAAAATGCAAAAAAAGAAAGAGGGAAGAAGGAGGAGAGGGTGGGAAAAGAGTGTTTTTCGATGGAATCGACTTTGTAGAAGTTGGAAACGGGTTTGTTGCAAAAAATGGTACTAGGTCTCCAGGCAAGACTTTGTAGGCACAGCATAATAATGCCTTGTGTTCCGAAAGGGTGATCTCGCAATTTAGGTGCATGTTCTTATAGTTATGGTGCCTGATGTCCTATTCCTATACAATATCCATATTATATTATCAAGTTTAACTGTTATTTCAAATTTAAAATTGACTTGTCCCTAAGGATATCTTTTGATCCAGACCATGAACATTGGATATGTTGTTTTGGAAAGGCCATGAATATTATGTACACGGCGTTTTCATATACTCGGTGCTTTCCTATTCGTTCAGTTGCAAAACGACATTTTCATTATCTTCTTTAAAGTATGAATGGAAAACAACACCTCCAGATAATTCTTGAGATATGAGCTCCCTATACTGCCTTACTGTATTAAGTTTACTAGTAAAGTATGCACATGGGATTCAGTTATCATGAAATGTGTCGTGTTGTATTTTTTTTACTTTTGTAGTAATAAACACATGACCCATCATGCACCTCCACCGGATTTGCCTTTTCCGCCGTCTTTACTGCCAGATCATAATCCCACTTATTGTTGTTGTTATTATTATTATTATTATTATT